CGAGCTGCGGGGCCGGGGTACAGAGCAGCCGGTGAGGGTGTCGGGCCATGGTGGTCCTGCACCCATGCCCGCCGCTCGCGCGTACCTGTCCCTCCACTGCACCTCCTGAAAGGGCTTCTTCGGACTGCAAGTCACCAGAGCACGCTGCTGTGGCTCCCAAGAGAGTGGCCAGCCCCTGCCTTTCAAACAAACAGCTGTCTCATTCACCAGTCCAGCAAAGAAACACCATCAAGTTACCTGATGCATTAAACACATCGCTAGGCAGGACTGTTTCTCTGAAACGCGGTAATTGGCCAGGACCCCTCCCTCTACACCACAGCAGAATGCTGCTCGGTGAGCACTACGATAACAGACCTAAGCCCACAGCCTAGATTTGCATGTCCCAGAGGGTATCACACTCCAGCTCTTGCAGTACTGATGGGACAGAGATGGGCAACTGTGCAAGCACAGGGTACTCTGCACCTAGTCCTTCAGTCTCAGAAAGCAGCTGGAAGGATTGCAGAGGGGGTGTTAACGCTGCAGACAGGGAAGCAATGGCCACAAGAGCTGGCAGGCATCAAGAGTGTCTTAGTCTCTCCTCTAAAGAGACCTCACATGCCACAGAGTGCAAAATCTCACGAAATGCCTGCTATGCACACTAAGCCTATTCCCTTTAATAAGCTTGAGCTGCCAGAGAATGGAAGTGTGACGGACACTGGCAAGTGAGAGCACAGAGGAGGATCCACGAGTTTGAACAGGTCTAATGTTAGCATGACTGGACTTCTCCCTTTCTCCTTCCCTCAAAGAGCATCGTTCTTACATACAACTGAGTAGGCACCTAGGGCAACAGATGGAAGCGTCTTCCAGAAGTCTTTGTTCATCTTGAGCAGGATACTTGCTAGGGGGATCCCAGGCATGCAGAGCTCGTCTCCACAGCTTGATCTGCATGTCCCAAGAGCGACGACTATATTTCTTGTATTTGTTTGGTGTTTGAGGGTGAACTCCTGGCTGCCGAGCAGCCCTAAGAGCAAAGCACAGTATCATCAGCAATTAGGAACCTTCTTAAAATACTCTCATCTGGCAGCAAGTCTCCCCGTTCCCCCCAAATGCCAGAAAGTCATGTAGAAACACTCAGCTACCCTTCTAACAGAGGACTGGTAGAGCACTAGGATTATGCCCTCGGATCTTGAGATATGAAAAGGTAGTGAAGTTACTCTTAGTTCATTCAAAGGGAAAGGGCTGTCACACTGAGACTTCAGGCACTTCTCCCCAGCAATGTCTGCGGCTGGCCAGAACCAGGGTTGTGGGAAACATAGCCGACCCAGGAACTGTCTCACTTGGGGACTTGCTGAAGGAAGAGCTGGTAGCCCACAGTGTTCTTCCCATAATCAATCTGCTTCTGCCTCCTTCGCAGGACGATCTCGTCTCTCTCGACATCCGACCTGGGAAAAGAACAGCCAGCGCTAAGGCAGGGCAGGAGAGACCGTGGGGCTGCAGCCTCTGCGGCGCGAGCACTGACCTGAAGGCCGAGCAGGGTCCTCGCGGGATGCCTGTCCTCGTGCCGACACCGACACTGATCATGTTTACACCGGAGGAAGACAGCTCTGGCGGCACGGCCTGCCCCAAGCGAGAGGGGAACACTCAGCCGAAGCGGCGCTGCCAGGACAGCGGCGTATTCCTGAACGCGCCTCTCCAGAGAGCAGAGCCGCCGCCGCCGCCGCGCCGCGCCGCGCTCGGGGACCCCCTGCCTC